CAGTGTAATCCTGTTTCTCTGACTGTGACTGGCTGGATGTGCTCTCTTCGTCCTCTGGCATGGGAGCTGGCTCAGAGCTCGTCTGCCTGGCTGTCTGTTTCCTGGATGGGGCCGCTTTTACAGCTGCTTTTTGTGTCTCTGCTTCTGCGTCCTTGAACCCCAGTCTGCCTCGGCAGATGGCAGCTCACACTGAGCCTGGTTCTGCTGGAGGTTTCTTCCTGTTAAAAAGGAGTTTTTCCTCACCACTGTCGCTACAAGCATTCTTGGTGTGAGGGATCGCCTTTGAGTCAATGAGTCGGTGCAATCAGCTGATTTTCCTTAATTTTGAACCAATCTGCAGTGTGATCTGGTGGAATTGTCTCTGTAAATTGCCTTAATGTGACATGTTTGGAACTGGTGCTATAGAAATAAACTGCGTTAAATGAATTAAGGTTATTCTAGAAAACAGGGTTCTGAAAAGATTATTTAAAAACGTGTTTTCACATTTTACGTCTTTACAAAAAAGACCAAGAAATATTTGTTTATTATAAAACAAGGTTAGACAAACCAAGCATCCGTCCTGATGGTGTTTACAGAATTCCAGCCCCGGGGTGCAATGAGCAGACATGAACTGATGTGGAGCCATCTGATGGCAGTCCTAGGAACTACCAGAGAGCCAGGTGGCAATAATGGACGCAGCTACATAGCAGAGCCTCTCTGTCTGTCTGCCTGTTTATCTATCTGGAATCAAATGTTTTCAACTTTTTTCACACTGGATTTTGGACTTTTCTTTGTTAATTTCACACTTCATTAGAGGTGTTAACAGGCTTAGCCGCAGTAGGCTACTTCCTTGTCTACCCCCTGAACACATGAACAGTATCTTACCTTCTTTGTTATTGTAAATATACCCATAAGGCTTTTTTGCTAACAAATTGAACAAAAACACATAAACAAGTACTACGCCAGCAGAACGGGATAATTTTTCTAAAATTATTTTTTGGTGTAATTAGCGTGAGCTACTGCTGTATGAAATAAAAAAATGACCATTTTAAGATCAGGTAAGTCTGGGATTCTGGGTTTTGGATCACATGGCAACAGAACACATTGTTCTAGAAAATATATAGAATAATAACCATATTTTGTGCTTAAAAATGTCATTCTGATGCATATAGTTCCGGAACAGTCTGAATGTGACCGCCCTCTGTGTTCCTGCAGCTATGATGAAATGGCTCTGAAGGATCTCCCTGCCGTTATCAACCATGTTCTGAAGGTGACGGGACAGGAAAAGATCTTTTACATCGGACACTCCCAAGGAACCACAATTGGTACCAGACCCAGTCCTGCTCCGCCTTTCTGCCTGCTACACACTGACTTCCTGTAAAGGCTAATGTCCGTCCTATTTCCCAGCATTCATAGCGTTCTCCACACTACCTGAGCTGGCAAGTAAGATTCGGCTATTCTTGGGATTGGCTCCTGTAGCGACCGTGGCGTTCACCTGCAGTCCTGTAACCAAACTCTCTAAACTGCCAGAATGTTTGATCAGGGTAAGAATCACGGTGCCATCAAAACAGAGCATTCAGATCACCGGTAGCAGCAGCCAGTTTCTTTGTAACATAGAAAATCTAAAATGTTGCTTGTTAAAAAGACCAAGAACACGAGTTAACAGGCAGTTATTTGTATTTTCAGTCAGTTATCCATAATTCTGATTTCCTCTTGTACTACTGATGAACCTGCTTTTCTTTGTGTCCATTGTCTCCCTGCAGGGCCTGTTTGGAAAGCGGGACTTCCTGCCACAGAGCCGCTACATCAAATGGTTGGCTGAACATGTGTGTGCAAAGAAGTGTCTGGATGAGCTGTGTGGAAACCTCTTCTTCGTCATCTGTGGCTATGATAAGAAAAACCTTAACATGGTCCGTACCTCTGACCCTGGTTCCTAAAGAAGATCAGAGCTCAGTCATATCCTCCTGCTACCAACAGAGTTTCATTTGAAGACATTTAGTTTTTTTGTCCGTCAGAAAACAGAAGCTCTGTCAGCTTGGCTGGTTTTATTCCTGTAACTGATCAGTTTGTGGTTGAAGTTCAGGTTTTTGTACTGAGGAGGATTTCCTGATGTGTTCCAGACTAGGATTCCGGTCTACACCACTCACTCCCCTGCTGGGACGTCTGTCCAAAACATGATCCACTGGGCGCAGGTACCGGTTCCTCTCATTTTGTAGCTTTAAGCTATTAAATGGATGACAG